TTTCCTACCTAAAAGGACGACAGTTGAAAACGATTACCAATCCTTGCGGGCCTTTGTTCTTAATTTGTAGGTAGTGCACGCTCCCACCACTGTAGATTGGGACAAAAACACAATTAAAGAAAATAGTACATTAGAAGATTTCTCATTAGGTACGTCCAATTTCGCAATAAGCCCAAACTAGTTTATAGACAGGCTGGACAAATAAATTTGGGTGTCATGGACACTGAAGCCATATTTTATGAACCAACGAGATGGGTCAGTCAGACAGCGACACAGTGACAAACATAAGCTGCATGATCTATGGGGGTTGCATTGATTTTGCCATGGCTAATGATCTACTCTTACCTTCTTATTTTTTTATATATTATTTTCTTACAATTTAAGAAAAAAGGAAGAAAAATGTAGAATAACACGAGTCATGTAAAATTATTGCTATAATTAGTATAATCTTAGGTGTCTCAGAATTTGGATTTGAACTAATTAAACTTAATTTTATTATAATATGTTTAAGAAATAGAGTTATTTTTCACTTATAAACCTGAACATCTATAAATAGACAACGACTTGATAATAGGAGGTTTGATAAACTCTAATGATTAAGCTAGATCTGAGTTGGAACTTAACTTCATCTTAAAAACTAATTGAAAAAAAATATTGTCTATATATATATATATTAGTATAAGTAAACTTTATAATCATAAAGAATGAAAAATAGTGATTTCATTTGCCAACTAATTAAAAAACACATGTGTAAATTATTAGGATACAAATCGGATCTTATATCAATAAAATAATATAAGAAATAAAAGTTTATAAAATATTTATTTATTCTATTAAAAAAAATCTTTTGAACCGTAATTAAAAGAAATTATAAAAGTGTAAACTCAAAATAAATAATGTACGTCTTATTAATGCATGTGAAATTATATATAAAAATACACGATACTCAAAAAAAAAAAATAATACAATATTACAAGACCAAAAACAACCCATCATTATATACAAGCAATAATTCATATATATACAAACAACAACAATAACAAAAATATGTGTGAATGCCTAATAAGTAACAAAAATATAATAATGCTTATCTTGGTAAATATTTATCTTAAACAAACACCACAACATAATCCTAACATAGATCGATGGTTATTTTCACACTAAAACCATTCTTACACGATTAATTAGCAATATTCAATTATACAAGCTTTCAAGAATTTGTTCATATTGAACCACTATACCTTTTTCATAAAAACAAAGTTAAGGTTAGGAAAAAAGACTGCTTACATGCAGAGTTGGGAAAAACTACTGTCTTCATTACGAAAGAATCTCATATCATCTAACATTAATATTAATAATGATTTAGCGGTTATTAAACAAGTATACTACTGTAAAAAGTACATGAAACATTGTGCAGGAAAGAGTGTGATATATATAGATATAGGTAATAAATGCAAAGTGTGAGAATCCCGCAGGAAGAGATGTTGGTACAAGTGTGTTGGTTGAATTGGGTTGCGAGAGGTGCATGCGGGTGCAGGGCAATTAAAGTCGTGGAACCCCAGCCCTGGGCAAAGTCACATGAATTCCGAGACAGAAGAAAGAGGTAGAGTTGGCACTTGTCATAGTTATCGTTTGAAGTGGTCACAAACTCACAATCATAAGCCAACAAACTCCATAATACGAGGTGGTCTTGATCCTTGTCTCCATTTGCCGTGTGAACTCAGCTTATAGTAAAACACAAATATATATATCCAACAGATTTTACGGCTGAGCGCTTCGTACGTTTGATGAATGCGTGCATGGTGGTGCACTGTCGCTTAATTTGTTTCATTCAGGACATGCCATTCCACAATCTTCATTTCACAGTTAATTTTAGAAACTAATAAACTCCAAACTCTTACTCCTCCTGTTCTTTCTCCATATCTATATGGACAAAGTTTCTTTCAAGTTCAAAAAAACAATGTAAACCATACACGTGAGGATGTTTTTACTATTAAAGTAAAGTGAGTTAAATTTAATTTATTCAAGCCATAATTTGATTGGGGTTCCAAACTGAAATCCAAATACGGATGTAGTTCCTTCATAGGTTTTATAATTGAAAAAAAAAATTCAAAAATTAAAGGAAGTATTTTATATTGTTGAAGAAACTTTTGAAAATTATAGCATTTTATGGTTGTCACATTAGTTTGTTAATAATTATAAGAGTGTATACATATATATGCCAAGAGGCTTATAATAATTGATTTTCGCATAAAGTCTCTAGCTAAAAGGTTTTGAACTTACTAAAAATCTAAAATTCACGTTATGTACAAGCAGTTAACTCAGAATGAGGGAGGGGGAAAATGAGGAAAAATTATTTGGTGATTTAGGGTTTAGAATTTTTTTTCCTTTTATTATTAAGCTTTTGAGAAAATAAAAGAGATAGAGACGTTACACACTTTGTATAGATTATCACTTATTTTCTCAAAAGCTGAAATATATATATATATATATAAATTTTTTTTTCAGATTTCAGAAGCTTTTTGCACGTACAATGCTGGCTGGTAACAAGCCAAGTCTCTTTGCTCGTTTTCATTAGAGCACGAGGACAAACCCAAATCTGCAATTTTTATTTTTATTTTTATTGAATAAGGCCTTATTCTCTCTCTCTCTCATATATATATATATATATATATATATATATATATATTTATTTATTTATTTATTTATTGTTACATATCATTTATTATATTTAATCATATTGATTTATAATAGAGTCACCGTGTTTGTTGTGCCACCTATGTCAACCAACGATTTATAGTAAATTCCCGCTAAAACTAGCTATAATGCAGCCCAGGTAAATAATACGTGAAAATAGAAAGGAATTTTTAAAATAAATTAGAGAGATATTTTCATATATCAGAGGGTGCTGTAAATTGAGTACTGCATTGAGATATAACGGAAAAAAGAAATAGTACGAGATATCATAAAACAAAAAAAAAATGAATTCAAAATAAAATGTGTGATATAAAAAAGATGGAAGGATATGAAACGTTGTCATTGTGACTTATATTTTTGGGATAATAGTAATATATGAATTAGAAAATAATAATATATTCTACATTGTTTATTATCTAATTAATAAAATTAGAATTTTTTTTTGCTCCATCATAGTATATTCAAACAATAAAATTGAAGTCTTATCTTGTTATTTTCATTTCATTTTATCTCATTTCTTTCTACTAGTCGAGGCATAGTCTTAGAATTTTGTTACAATTTGTATTTTTGGGCCAATATTTAAATGAGTTTTTGAGCATATATAGGAAGAATAAGGGGAGAGGGCTTTCCCGTTTGTAAGGAGACCATAAAATTGAGTATGACTTAAAAAGAATTAATTTGTATTACTTATATCAAAAGATGTATTTACTTTTTAGTAGTTCATCGTATAAGAATTTTATAGTTAAACGTGTTTGACTTGAAATAATTTAGAAATGAATGATCTCTTAAATTTTTTTTCTAGAAAGTGTATTACCGAGAATAAAACATGATAAAAAGTCTTTCATTGATTTATGAGGACAATTGTCATTGATCCTAAAGATGGACGAAAATTTCAAAAACGACTACCCATGAAAGGTTCCCACTGATAAAGGATTTTGACTAATGAAGAGTTGTATAAAATGTCACCAAGTGGAGCAGTTGATATGTCAAATTTGAGGAGTGTTACAGTTTTTCTGTTTTCAATATTAAAATCCTTAAATTTTCAACGGTACCATGATATTTCTCTTAAAAATATATATTTTTCACATTTTATCTTTTTAATTAAATTAGAAAACATTAACAATGTAAAAAAAAAAATACAATTATTTAATGATAAATTGTCGTAATAGGATTATTTTCTGATCGATTAAGTAATATACATAAAAAAAAATTATATTAACAGTGCACGAAAATTAAATTCTTATTTTTTTCATTCTTATTTTTATTAATAATATAAAACGAGATAAAAAAAAGTGGTATTAAATTTTTTTTTACAAGTGCTTAGCTAAAACGTTTTTTTTTCCTTTTCTTTTCGGGTCAATACTAAAATATTGTTCACACTGGTAAGACGCATCGCTCATGTGCCCATTAAATAAATCACGAGTAAAAGGCCCAGCCCATGGTATGTTTGACGTATCCAAAGCAGATTGCCCTAACACTGAAAAAAGAAGAGAAAAAAGAAAGAAAAAAAAAGCTTGTCACGCTCAAACTCAGTTTTTTCATTGATATAAGAATCCTAATTCAACTCAAATGGTGGATTGCGAGTTGAGTTTGATCGACTTGTGAATCTATTTAAATAAATTATAAATAATTTTTATTGTACTTATTAATAATTAAACAAGTTCATCAATAATAATAAAAATAAGTACACAAGTCAATAAATAAAAATTAAAAAAAAATATATAGATCAAACTAAATTCGTCATTTAATTCAATTAAATTAGTGAATTGAACTATGTAGATGGGGATTGAAAAGTACAATTCAACAACTACACTGCTGAGTTGGACCCATTTTAACATTTCTATTTCTATGATTAATTAGTTATATTAGTTATTCATTTGTTTTTCTCGCGAAACAATTACAAATGGAAATGTGACTTAAAATTAGTAATAATTAAATTAATTTCATTAAATATATATGTCATTTTAAAACTATTTAATTTTATAAATAATTTTTAAATAAAATTAATTTATAACATTATTAATTAGAATTAACTGATTGATCGATGTATTTTTTTATTATTAAATTGATGAATTGATTATTCGGAACATGGGTAAGTATTTAAAAGAAAAAAAAAATATAATAGTAAATTGTAATTGAGATCCACAGTTGTTTTGGTATAACTAGGAGTTATAATTCTCTTATTAAGTCAATTCATTTTAAAAGTAGTTACTTGTTGTGATTGTATGTGCAAGAAGAAAATCAATTTGTGATCGAACTCAAGTGTGAAAAGTCTTGTTCTAACAAGTTTGCAAAATGAAGTGGACAAAAGAGAAATTCATTCAAGTGTATTGCTTTGACTCCATAGGTCCGTATCATAATACGTAGAAGAAAAGTATTGATCGGATTGGTTCACCGAAGGGACAAGAAATTCGTTTGGAATGAGTGACATTTCCGCCGCGTACGCCTCCGTCCAAAAATTTGCACTAAGTGGCTGCAATGCTTCTAGAAACGAAAACTCGTCATAATCCTCCACCACCAATTTTTCATTAGACTCGCATAATGCCCAATTATCAATGCTCTCTGTACCATCAATGTTACCTACACATGCTTCGGTCCAAATATTCTCCAACCCATCTTTGAGTAACGAATTTTGGTCAGTGGCAGCATATGAATCCGAGAATGTTGTTGGGGAACTGGTATGAAACAAACCATTCATATTGTCTTGCTTGGACCCTGAGCTTTTTGATTTTGCGCCTTTCACATTTTCATTGGTACCAACTGCGTCCTTTCCTAAACGCTTTTGAGGTTCGTGTGCCAGTGGTTCTTTATTTCGTTATCTGTTCTTCCGGCTAAATGAGTGGCTATCACAGACCACCTGCATCAAGGGACAAAACACGAATTATTATATTTGCTTTATCAATTGATGTTGACGTACCAGTGATTTTTTTTATAAGATTGAGTTATATTTAAAAATATTTTTTAAGAAAATGTTTTTTATTTATTTATTATAATTATAGTTATAGTCCCGGGTCTAGGTTTTGATGGTGTACAATGTTGTGGGAAATTTAGGTTGAAACAGGAGCATACTTGTTACCCAGCTTTTCATGTAGTCTAATTATAACCTCTTCTTCTTCTGCCGTATAGTTTCCTCTTTTTATGTTGGGCCTGAGATAATTTAGCCACCTCAGCCTGCAACTCTTTCCACACCTTTCAAGACCTGAAAATCATATATATCAGTGCTTTTCCCATGAAATTTCATAGCTTTGAAGAATTAATGAGCTTAATTTTGACATGCAGCAAGTATAGGAAATGTTGAAATACCTGCATATCGTGGGAGTTGGCGCCAATTCCAACAGCCATAGCGAGTGACATAAGCTACTAACTTTTTATCCTCTTCTGGAGTCCAAGTACCCTTCTTAAGTCCACTTGAGTCACGAGAAGGGGTTCTCACCATATCTATTGTTTGCTTCCTGAGTGTAAGAGAGATAAAAGGAAACAATGATATTGATCGATGTTGTTAATTTCCCTCTATCGTCGGACCAAAATCATCAAAATATTTACTTACTTATATTACGTGCGTTCCCACAGGCAAAACGTGTTTCATGCTCCACTCAGTTTAAAGGACTAAATAATTCAAAATATTACTTCCACATCTAATCTTCTCTATCTCAGCATGACTCACAAATCCAACGTTGTACCAATAAAAAGTTATGACGAATTCAAGGATGAAATTGTAAATTCAAGGAGTTTTGTCCAAATATAATACGTGTATGATTTGCTTTAGTTGTTCATTCAAGCTGACTCGTGAGTCGTGACACCTAACAACAACATTTTTCGAATTCATGTCTGCTCTTATAAATCACTAACTTTGCAATCTAATCCAATCTTTTCTTCTGTAGATTCTATGTCAAATGGATTCGCGCCAGTGGATCTATCTTTTTCTTTTAAATTTTTTTTCTTACTTTTTAACAATATAAATAATATAGCATTAATTTTTAATTATATATATATATATATGTGTAATATTTATGCAAACTTATAACTTTCTTAACAAATTATATCAGTATTTTTTTAAACTATATTATTTGCATGAAATATTTACTAATTTTATTGATAATTAATTTTTATTTTAAAAAAAAACTCTCCTCACTATTAGTCACGGTTTTTTCTCCATTGTAAGTAGTCAAATTTAAGACTATACTTATAAGAAACTATGCTAAACTTTACTTAGAATAACTACCTGTTAATATTTAATATTATTTTATCATATTTTTAAGCTAATATATTAATTATAGCTATTTAATAGAAAATACATCGGATTAAAGTCATAATACGATGACGTCTACCGCAAACGATATATATCATCAACTCGGTATATTAAAAGAATTTTAAAAGCTCGTCACAGAATAACATGGAGTTCACAAACGCACACAAAACGACAAATTAAAAACAAACATACATCATGTTATATAGTGTAACGACCTCTCATGGTCTCTACACTTAGTGGAATCGCACTACTGCTAGTGAGTTTCTTTAAAAAAGGGTAGAAAGCAGGTGGCTGAAAGAACTTGTGTGTGGATGAAAATGGTGTTCTATTGATTGTTGGGAATAATCTAACGAAGGCTGGTTTTGAAAGTAAGGTGGAGGACTATTATTTATTTGTGTAACATTCGCATATAGTTCAAAAGAAGTAAGAAATTTATGGCTACGAATAAGTTGAATCATGCCATGCATGTCTTCATCGTCCGTTAGTTTGACAACTCGGTAATGAAGCATTTCTCCGCCTACCCTTTATAAAAAAAGGATCGGTTAACCGATCCACTTTTATAAAACGGTTCGGTTCGGTTTGAATCGGTTTTTTGAAAAAACCAATCCATGAACACCCCTAATAATTGGACATACGAAAGCAAAGTAATTCCAACATAATGTTTTAATGAATCTATCCATCATCTTTGGGCTTATCTTATCGTATTCCCATTGTTGGCTATTCCTCTACTCAACACCGCCCATACAAAAGTGTTTGAACTTTGAACTAGAGAACCGCTAGCCACGTTTATCACCATGCTAAAAGAGAGACATATGCCATTTGATTAATGTTCATCTTTTCAGCGATCAAAAGTGCGTTCTTGTCCTTTTCTGTGATAGTGGGAAACCAAATGACGCGTTAATTATTCAACTCCAAGCTTTTAGATATGGTAGAAGTTGTGGCTAATTTGTGTCCATACTTTACTTGGCATACAAAATGAGTTACTTTCATATTTTGATGAGACATAAGGTGCATTTGTTCCTTACGCACAACAGAAAATTCATCTTTACACTTACAAGGTTGAAATTACAAGTTTTACAAGTTATTTCCTCTGAAATTGCTGTTGGGGAGATTTCAAACACGGAAAGCATCTTCCACAAAAGTGGAAGCAAAACCCGTGTAATGCATGAACCAATTATCATCGCTTTTGTGCAAATCAATTATCTCTTGTGTGGCTTAATTTTCTAGAAAAGGAGAACACGTCATACATGCTACTGTTACGGTGCTAATCTGAATATCTTGGCTTATCTTTCTGTGTGTAATTTCTCTCCGAGTCCTAAAGCAAATTAACTTTTATATATATATCTTGACAATAATATAAACAAACTATAATGGAATCACATATATCCATCAGTTACAAAGAGATTAACCACTTTAAAGTACAAGCAGATTGGTGAATTTCCACGCATTTTTCTCAGGGAACAAAGACTTTGCGGAAATAAATGTTTTTCTTATACTAAGATATTGGTAAAAAGGAAAAAAAAAAAAAAAAGTAATAAGCATAGATAGATTGAATGTTATATCATGTGAACCATATGACGCTTAGATAATTAAATTATAATAAATGGTCTATATATGTACTGTACTAACCATGTAAAGAAAAGTTACAAAGTCAGCTAATTATATGTTAAGTATCTTTGAGCGTAAAAATTAAACCATAAAATTTTGGACTCTAAAGGGACAGCTGGAAGTGTGGCGATGAACGGTTTGAACACGACATAATCTGCAACGTTTTTTTGTGTGTTTATGTAAAGTGCTTTTGGACTAAATAAATCTCATAACTGAAAATAGATAACTAATCAAAACAAACTATTAAAAGATAAACCTAAAAAATAGATAAATTATTTAAAATAGACAACCAATAATGATAAAACAGATAACTCAATTCTGTTCGGCTAACTATTATCATTATTTTCCCTTTTGTGGCGCCTCCTATATACCTTAGTAATAGGAGGTTTCGGTTGAAGTCTATCAGGACCAAACTGTATAGTATTAAGATAAGATCTCGTCGTATAAAAACATTGCTTCTTACTACTTACTAGTATCTTTATTCTCATCTGTTGGCAGTCTCTCACATAAATATTGGAACTTGTTAATTATCTTCATTTTCATTTTTTTTAAATAATTACATTTGAATAATTACTACTATGTTCCTTTATATAAAATACAATTCATATTAGTTTATAAATTAATTTTTTTTATCGACATATTTCTAATTAAAGTGTGATAAAATGTATTATTTATAAATTTTTTAAAGAACATAAAGTAATTGATTAAGAAAAAAATGAGTATTAATTAAAAGAAAGAAATAGTATATGTACCACCCCTGATGTGGGACCGAGGTCATGCCGAGATCCACATTCCATCCCCGATGTGGGAACGTAGTCATGCAAAGATCACGACGTAAGGTGTTGACCAAATATTAGCTGACTCAGACCTTGAAACCAGCAATACCAACACCTCAGCCCATAGAGAACATCAAAACATATAACACATGGTAAATCCAACCGACTTAACTATAGTTAACTCACCTCGGATAACCACTATAGCAGTTATCTCAGAAAACCGCACAACCCAGGTAAGGCATAAGTATGAGAATGGACAATGGAATGGCAACTAACTTGATCGTCGGAGTCCTTTTTGCAGGTACATCCGAGGCGCTCGAGCAAGGAGACCAGAAGAGAAGGAAATCGTCCTCACAACTGATGTTGGACCATCTCGGACCAACCAGAGCAAAGATGACTTATCCGAGTTAGGCATCCGACCTGATTCGTGTAAGTACAGTATAGAACATGCATTTTAATTGATTAATTAGAAAAATATAAGAATAATTTTAAAAAAATATTTAAACAAAATAAATTTATTATTATCAATTAAATTAACTATTTTTCTTAATTTTACTGAATTAAATAATTAGGTCTTATAAGACAATTCTTCCATTTGCTTCAGCAATATAGTGCTTAATTTTTAATTTTTTTTACATATATAAAATATAATTAACATAACAGTTAAACAATGATCCAATTACTTCAAAAAAATTCTTACCATTTTGTAAACATTCAACTCAAGTAATCAATTGCGAACGGAAAGGAGACCTAGTAGATTTCTTTTTAAACATTAAACTTTTAAACTTACTCAAATTTCGGTATATTATTTATTTTTCAAATTTAAAACTAATGGATTGATTGACCCACTACGTACATGTCAATTTAATTTGTTGCATTAATTAATTTTCACACAGCTGAATCGGATATCGGACAAAAGTAATTTTAAAACTATCTTTTTTCTAGAAAATAATTTATGCACCAATAATACATATATTGTCATATAATTAAAAATTATCATACAATGATATACTTAAAAGTTATATATAATGTATGATTAATCAAATGCTTTAACCGTTAGTGTGCCACTAAACTCTATTAGTGATATTTCATATGCCATACTTTCTGTCGAATTAATCATGATAGTTAATTAAATCCAAATTACTTTTTTTTTATGTTTCAAAAATTTAGATTAGGATAAGACAATTTTATATGAGATCAAAATTAATTACTAATTTTTTTTTGGAGAATTTTTAGTGAAATTACGGACCGTCTATTTCATCCCTAACACTAGTTTGTATAGAAAGATATAAGATATAAGAGAAAATAAATTTGATCTCAAATCTTAGTTAATAGAAGTAAAGAAACTTAACCAGTTGTACCACCCTCACCGGATGAATTCAAACTATTTGACATGTCTAACCAAAGTCATAAAATGAAAAATTGGGTTCTATCATTTAATTTTTTAAAACTAATTAATAATTATAAAAAAATATTAATTTTTTTACATCTCTATATCCTATATTATTTATTTATTTATTTCCTTTTTCTTTTATATTATTTCACTCATATTATTCTTAATTTTATCTTCTCAATGGGTGTGAAATATTGATGACAATAGATAAGACTTGAGTAGGAAACTACAATACTATTTACATGTGCTTGAAAAAAGACACTTATACTTAGCTCTATATTATCTATGTTGATCACAACTTTAATCTTCATCTTTATACTTACTAGATACCTATATATATATATACTCATAAATGTCAATTGCATCACTACAAAAAATTGTGACATATAAAAAGTATCACTATAGATATAATATATGTTGGTATATATTTATTTGATATATAGTTACACACAATTTTAGTATTGATTTTGAATGAGATTTAACAACATATTTTGTGTGTTACTATACCTTATATCCACACATTTTAATAATATATCAACA